AGTTAAAATGATACCGTGATCCAGTTTATCGAATGCCTTAGACAAGTCAAGATAAAGGACATCAGTTTGACAGTTCAAGTCAATAGAATTTGAGATGTATTGTGTGATAGTACACAAATTAGTTACTGCTATATTGTTAAAATACTTCAGAAACGTCTCTTTTGAAGTGTATTGTTACAGTTTTAAGCCAATCAGAAACCCAACGGGCCCGGAAAGAGCAACGAAACCATCAAATTTTAGCTAGAAACTGTATTTTTGTCGATTTTTATTGAATTTGAACTATATTTCAACATTTTTTTTTGGTTCTGAGCCACGAAACTCACTTAAAGCATGCAGAATCGTCTCATATTACGAAAAAGAGATGTTTAGGTCAATTTTGTGCATTCTGGCGTTCGTAGATACAAGAAAATTGTTAAAATTTTTCAGAAACGTCACTTTTGAAGTGTTTTCTTGTACTTTTAAGCCAATCAGATACCCAATGGGCCCGGAAAGAGCAACGAAACCATCAAATTTTAGCTAGAAGCTGTATTTTTGTCGATTTTTATTGAATTTGAACTTTATTTCAACATTTTTTTATTGTTCTGAGCCACGAAACACACTTAAAGCATGCAGAATCGTCTCAGATTAGGAAAAGGAGACGCTTAGGTCAATTTGTGCATTCTGGCGTTCGTAGATACAAGAAAATTGTTAAAATTCTTCAGAAACGTCACTTTTGAAGTGTTTTGTTGTAGTTTTAAGCCAATCAGAAAACCTACGGGCTCGGAAAAAGCTACGAAACCATCAAATTTTAGCCAGAAACATTATTTTTGTCGATTTTTATTTAATCTGAATTATATTTCAACATTTTTTGATGATTCTGAGCGACGAAACACACTTAGGTAGACCATGCAGAATCATCTCAGATTAGGAAAAGGAGACGTTTGGGTCAATATTATGCATTCTGGCGTTCGTAGATACAAGAATATTGTTAAAAATTCTTCAGAAACGTCTCTTTTGAAGTGTATTGTTATAGTTTTAAGCCAATCAGAAACCCAATGGGCCCGGAAAGGGCAACGAAACCATCAAATTTTAGCTAGAAACAGTATTTTTGTCGATTTTTATTAAATCTGAACATTATTTCACTATTTTTTTATGATTCTGAGCGACGAAACACACTTAGAGCATGCAGAATCATCTCAGATTAGGAAAAGGAGAAGTTTGATTCAGTTTCATGCATTCTGGCGTTCGTAGATACAAGAAAATTGTTAAAATTCTTCAGAAACGTCAATTTTGAAGTGTTTTGTTGTAGTTTTAAGCCAATCAGAAACCCCACAGGCTCGGGAAGAGCAACGAAACCATCAAATTTTAGCTAGAGACAGTTTTGTGTCGATTTTTATTAAATCTGAACCTTATTTCACTATTTTTTTATTGTTCTGAGCCACGAAACACACTTAAAGCATGCAGAATCGTCTCAGATTAGGAAAAGGAGACGTTTAGGTCAATTTGTGCATTCTGGCGTTCGTAGATACAAGAAAATTGTTAAAATTCTTCAGAAACGTCACTTTTGAAGTGTTTTGTTGTAGTTTTAAGCCAATCAGAAAACCTACGGGCTCGGAAAAAGCTACGAAACCATCAAATTTTAGCCAGAAACATTATTTTTGTCGATTTTTATTTAATCTGAATTATATTTCAACATTTTTTGATGATTCTGAGCGACGAAACACACTTAGGTAGAGCATGCACAATCATCTCAGATTAGGAAAAGGAGACGTTTGGGTCAATATTATGCATTCTGGCGTTCGTAGATACAACAAGATTGTTAAAATTCTTCAGAAACGTCACTTTTGAAGTGTTTTGTTGTGGTTTTAAGCCAATCAGAAAACCTACGGGCTCGGAAAGAGCAACGAAACCATCAAATTTTAGCTAGAAACAGTGTTTTTGACCATTTTTATTAAATCTGAACTATAGGTCAATATTTTTTGAAGATTCTGAGCGACGAAACACACCTAGAGCATGCAGAATCGTCTCGGATTAGGAAAAGGAGACGTTAGGTTCAATTTTATGCATTCTTGCGTTCGTAGATACAATAAAATTGTTAAAATTCCTCAGAAACGTCACTTTTGAAGTGTTTTGTTGTAGTTTTAAGCCAATCAGAAACCCAACGGGCTCGGAAAAAGCAACGAAACCATCAAATTTTAGCTAGAAACAGTGTGTTTGTCTATTTTTATAAAATCTGAACTATATTTCAACATTTTTTGATGTTTCTGAGCGACGAAACACACTTAGAGCATGCAGAATCGCCTCAGATCAGGAAAAGGAGACGTTTGGGTCAGTTTTATGCATTCTGGCGTTCGTAGATACAAGAAAATAGTAAAAATTCTTCAGAAACGTCACTTTTGAAATGTTTTGTTGTAGTTTTAAGCGAATCAGAGAACCTATGGGCTCGGAAAGAGCAACGAAACCATCAAATTTTAGCTAGAAACAGTATGTTTGTCGATTTTTATTAAATCTGAACTATATTTCAACATTTTTTGATGATTCTGATCGACGAATCACACTTCGAGTATGCAGAATCGTCTCAGATTAGGAAAAGGAGACGTTTGGTTCAATTTTATGCATTCTGGCATTCGTAGATACAAGAAAATTGTTAAAATTCCTCAGAAACGTCAATTTTGAAGTGTTTTGTTGTAGTTTTGAGCCAATCAGAAACCCCACGGGCTCGGAAAGAGCAACGGAACCATCAAATTTTAGCTAGAGACAGTTTTTTGTCGATCTTTATTAAATCTGAACCTTATTTCACTATTTTTTTATGATTCTGAGCGACGAAACACAGTTAGAGCATGCAGAATCATCTCAGATTAGGAAAAGGAGACGTTTGGGTCAATTTTATGCATTCTGGCGTTCGTAGATACAATAAAATTGTTAAAATTCCTCAGAAACGTCACTTTTGAAGTGTTTTGTTGTAGTTTTAAGCCAATCAGAAACCCAACGGGCTCGGAAAAAGCAACGAATCCATCAAATTTTAGCTAGAAACAGTATTTTTGTCGATTTCTATTAAATCTGAACTATATTTCTACTTTTTTTGATGATTCTGAGCAACGAAACACACTTAAAGCATGCAGAATCGCCTCAGATTTGGAAAATCAGACATTTGGGTCAATTTTATGCATTCTGGCGTTCGTAGATACAAGAAAATTATTAAAATTCCTCAGAAACGTCACTTTTCAAATGTTTTGTTGTAGTTTTAAGCCAATCAGAAACCCCACGGGCTCGGAAAGAGCAACGAAACCATCAAATTTTAGCTAGAAACAGTATGTTTGCCGATTTTTATTAAATCTGAACTATATTTCAACATTTTTTGATGATTCTGAGCGACGAAGCACACTTAGAGCATGCAGAATAGTCTCAGATTAGGAAAAGGAAACCTTTGGGTCAATTTTATGCATTCTGGCATTCGTAGATACCTGAAAATTGTTAAAATTCCTCAGAAAGTTCACTTTTGAAGTGTTTTGTTGTAGTTTTAAGCCAATCATAAACCCTACGAGTAGCTATATAGTGGGGCTGCTGGCTCAGATCAAATGAGGTCAACCCGAGCTAGGATCCCCACAACTTTTGATCGAGCGGTCATTGATCTTTTTGGTCGAAAATTGACCTGGGCGTTCATTGACTCATTGTGGCTGCAGGTGGCTGACATGAGCGTTGACCTTGCTTTTGCTCGGTTAAACTGACGCAGCGATCCACTTCCTATCTCGAGCAGGCTCGAGTAATACCCCACCATCTCTTTTGCAGTTATATAAACGTCGATTTACTTGTCAGTGATTTATTTAGTTTTGTGCCTTCAATTGTTGAATAGATTGTAAATTTAAAATGTCGTCTTTTATTTCTGGTTTGAATAAAGAATCACAATTACAAGCTTTTGTGAGTGCAAAAACTTTAGAAGAAAACAAAAGTTTTTAATTAAAAGTTTTAGTAAAAGTCCTACAAAATACGGGGACAAAATATTTGTGCAACTGGAAGATTTCAGGACAATACTACCCCAGCGCTTTACTGAAAAATTGGACGATTCAGTAATCGACGATCTTAACAGAAAAATTGCTAACTGCTGGAAGTTGCGTTTCGTCAACAAAGGACCGATCGGTCAAACCGTCAATATAGAATTCATTGAAGGATGAAGATAATGAAAAATATGAAATATAATCTAACTACCGTTAAAACTTTGCATCGGAGATTAGATTTACATTTGGAACGTATTCGTTCCATAAAAGAAGCAATTAAGTTGTATGAAATAAGAAATGGACTTAACATTCTTAAGCTGTACTAGAATTAATGATTTTAATAAATTATAATTAATCACTTACTGTGTGTTTTATTTCACCATCCTCGTACAAAATATTATTTTATGGTGAATCGTCATGAATAAAAGACGTGTGTGCTTCGATAATATACCTGTTATTTTCTTAATAAATGGTAAAGAAAACCGAATTAATACTTGGTTATATGATGTTAGAAGATTTCAAATGAATGTGGAACGTTTCGAAATATAAATAAAACCGTTAATCGAAAAAATGATGGAGAAGAAGCGAAAATTTAGAGAAACAATCGAAAAGTTAGATTCACAATTGAAAATTATTCAACTAAGAAAATCAGTTAAATAACATCTTCGAAAATTGGAATAATTCAAATTTTATTATTATATTGTAATAAATATTGTTTATTTCGTTTGATGTGTTATTTTCACCAGTCCCATATAAAATTATTTAATTGCGATTAACCGTCACGAATAAAAGCCGTGTTTCTTCCGACAAAATTCCGTTTATTTTCGTAATAAATAAATGGTCACTTATATTACAACTACTACTACTACCAATATCTACATTACTGCTACAAACATCTAATTATTATCTAAACTACTGGCCTACACACAATTAATTCTACAAAGCAAAATTTTATACTACTACTATATACATAATTATCACTACTACAACAACAACAACTACTACTACTACTGCTACCTGCTATTACTACACTAAATTTATTTTGTTCATTAATTGTTTCACCCCTTTCACATTACTTTCACAGTGGATAAGTTTTTTGTTCACTTCCGCGAGTTGCGTTTTTCGTTCTGCCAATAGTCTCTGAAATTCGCAAACTTTATTGAAGTATCTTTTCACGTCTTTTTCATACTTGGCTTTTTTTCATAACAGGTCACTTCGGCGCACCTTTTGAATTTGTTCCGCCGCTCGAGACTTCCAACGGAAGGACGACAGCAGCTCCGACGCCGTGGATGGTGCCTGGAACTCATCTTCGCTGTCCTCCTCCGTTCGAAGTGACAATGCCGGTGTTCGGCAAGCCTGTTCCTCCTCTTCCTGCTGGTGTTGAAGTTCCCTTTGCTGCTCCTCCTCTTCTTTATCTCGCTGTTGTTGTTGCTGCTCCGCTTGCTGCTCCTCCTCCTCCTCCTGCTGCCCTTCTTCTTGTTCCTTCGTCACGCCACAGACGTGGCGAAGTAAACCCATATTTTTGCCTTGCGTTTCCAAACCCTCAAATAATGAGGGCGTTAAAGAAACGCATGACTCGTCTAGTGCAATGGACAGCTGGGAGGGCGTCTCTGAAGGCTCTTCCCTTACTTCTATGGCCTTAGAAGTGGACGCTTCTTGCCGAATGGATTTTATTTCGTCCAATTCCTCGGCCGTTAAATCGGCCAGTTTCCTCATTTTCGGCATGGCGGGCTGTCAAACAAAATAAAGACTTATAAACATTTCAACATTTATGAATATACAAAAATTAAAAAAAATGTATATGATAAAATATTAAAAAAAAAACATTTAGCAAAAAAACAAAAGACCTGTCTGAATTGTGTTGTCTTCTAATATTGTAAAAAATATTAAACAAATAAATAATTAAAAAAACGTACCTGAATTACAACATCTTGAATGATATTGATTTTTTTCGGCTTTAGTGAATGCTTCATCTTCTTCACTTTCACGATCACTTCTCCACATACACTGAAGAACTAATAATGACAATTATGTGTCTCCATACAAAATATATCGGAAAAATAATGTAGAGTAATGAAAAAATAATTTTAGAAAGAGGGGTGAAATGCCAAATCAGCAATTTATTATGTCCATATATGGACATCTAAAAGACTGCTAGACTTCAAGGTCATGAAAAACTCTTCCCGTGAGAAATGCAATTCAGCAGTTCTCATGAGACATACATATCAGCAATTTCAATAACACGTGCTTTTCTCAGAATTTAGGGGTTCAAGGTCATGAAAACAACTATTTCCGTGAGAAATGCAATTCAGCAATTTTTGAAGACGTGCTCTTCACGGAACTTAAGAGTTCAAGGTCATGAAAAAACTATTTCCGTGAGAAATGCAATTCAGCAATCCAAGCCTCACTGTGAAGCACATGTATATAAGACGTATTTGTGTTCTATAAATTTATCAGTTCAGTTCACAGATCAGATATGTTTCCACTGAAAGAGAGTATTATGGTTTCTCGCGATCTTGATACAGATTCGTTGAATGAAGAGAAACGTTGTATCATTCAAGCAATCGAAAGTTTGTTACGACAAAAATTTTCATCGTGCAGAAAATTCATGGCTGGTGGATGTGCCGCATTTCTATTGAACCGAACCTCTTCATATACGAACATTGATATTTATATAGAAAAAAATGAAAATATAGAAGAATGGGCTAAGGATAACTGCCAAGCTAACCGAATCTCTACTTACGTTTATCAATCCAAATGGCCTTGTTGTTATTTGAATTTTGAAGGTTTTCTATTTAACCTTATTTTTATTGAACCTCGTCCTCAAATTTCCTTGGAAGCCAGAATACTAAGAATTCTCAAATCTTTCGATTTAACTATATGCAAAGTGGCAATGTATTTTTCAAGTGGAGTAAATCCAGTACTTGTTGAATGTAAATTAACAGATGTGAATTTCGACAATGTTGAAAAAAAAGATCGCATCACCAAGTATAAGAAAAGAATTGCCAAAAAGGAAGTACGATTTGAACCAAACAATTTAGTCATGTCAGCATATACTGTAGTGGTAGATCACGATGATTCCTGTAGTGCTGGTAATAATTTGAAAAATATCAAATAATTTATTGTTGGGTTAAATCGTAGTGCTGAGGCTGTTAGAAAAAATGATAGGATATATGTGAAATAAAACTAATAAATGTAAATAATTGTTTTATTGAATCCGTACATTCATAGATTTTCAAACATTTGTTGGATTATTGGGTTTGCTACAATGAGTGAAACATATTAACACTAAATAAAATAACACACAAAATATAATTACAAAAATAATTGCTCCTGCAGAAGTAAATATCCAGATCCAGGGTTTTGCCAAACAATATTGTGTAGCATTTTCACCGCTAGAACTTTTGTATCCACTATAATCGTTAATAATGGTGATAGTTGGTGACTTGCATCGGCTTCTGTTTTTGAAGACAAATTCTAGTTGATACTGCAGTTGGTTGGAAACGGATACATTTTTTGAATAAAACATAACTAACTGATCATGTCCATCTTTAATTTCTATCATTTTTCTACAAGTACATTTTTTATTTCTAACCAGAGTTTGTAAATATACATCTGTAACATTGCTATCAGTGAATAAATAAAAATCTTTCTGTATTAAAATGGTCGATAAAATAAGTGTGCAGTTTAAGCCTAACATTGTTTGGATAGAATGAGTACTTTGTTGTTGCGAAGTAACATATATATGTATTCAACACCACCACCACCACCACCACCACCACCACCACAACTAGCACTAACGGCTCGCCAAATCCCAGCATGCTACTGTTACGGTCATTATCGAGAATATGAGAAAAAGTGAAGCAAACCACACATGATCGTTTCTTAAACAAAAATCAATGACTTCCTTTGAATTGTTACTACAGTTAATATTTTCTATTATTAACCATTGAGAAAATTGTCGATTTCCTTGTTCTGTTTTTATCTTGTAAGCCAAATGATTTTGCGTTGTTATATTTTTCGCAGAGAAGAGATGATAACTGGTTTCGATTATATTGATCGGAGTAATTTTTTCCCAAAATTCCTTTTCATACGTCTGAATATACAGGAGAGTTATGTTTGGCGTGGTATAGATATATAAGTTGTTTTCAACAAGCGCACTTAATAGTACCATCACGTTGATAGGCAGAAACATTTTAGACTAGTTATGTTCTTGTATACACACACTCGAATAGCAAGCTTGTAGAGGTGGTAAGTCATTGTAGGGTGGTAGCGATAAACGGACCGAAACAAATTACTATAATTATTTTATTATTTTCTTCTAAAAACTGACTTATAATTATTGATTGCTGTTCTGTCCAGCAGCAGCTCCCTACTCATGGAGGGGACATACGTTTGACTAATTTCATCATCCCAGTTGTCTGGGCATTCTATTATTGGCGGTGGTGGTGGTGGTGGTGGTGATGGTGGCGGCTGGGATGCTCTGGAAGCAGGCTCACGGAGACATCTCTCCCGCTCCCATTGCTCACGATGACAATTAAAAATATGGCGCTTCAATCGGCCCTCAAGAAACCTATGGCTTCTGTCAAACGGGCATATGAAAAATTGCTCTAAATAAAAAAAGAAAAAACAATTAAGATTTTTATTTAATAGTAATAAAGACAAGCTTACCCATTTTGTTGTTTATATATATTTTTCTCAAGTGTTGAGGACTGAGTGTGATCTTCAATTTGTTGAAGACTGTTATAACTCTTGCGGGTGATCTTCAATTTATACACATTATCGATCCCCACTCTTGCTATTTTCCTCCACTTTTACTACAGAATACATTTTCTTAATTACTCTGAAGTTGATAATTTAGTTGTTTTTCTGAGCTTGCAAAAATACGCGTCTCATTTTTCGCTGATTTTTATTAAATTTGTTGAGTTGTGAGTTACAATCGGAAATTCGCGTTTACATATAAATAAGAAGGTATTCCACAGAAAAATAAAGAAAAATAATATTGCTCTTCTTTCTACTGTGATAAACAAGTTCGATAACAAAAAAAAAAAAAAAGAAATGCATCCGCAGGAAACAGTGACGGCTATATGTAAAGGCTCGCTTAAGCTAATTCATGAATATATTAGTAAAATCAAAACAATCGAAGAAATTAAAAAATTTTTAGTATATATAAATACCAGCATTAGAATAATTAGAAAAGCACTTAGATGTAAAATACATCGGGAAAATATTTTAGAAAATGCTAATTCCTTAGAAACAAGTCTAGCTTATCTAAAATTTTACCGCTTCAAGCTTTTAAATAAAAAAAAACATTTGTCTCTAAAAATTGGAGAAGGTTATTTTAAAAGAGACAAATTTAAACCTACGGCAAACGTAACCTGCCAAGACATAGAATCTTGTTTTGAACAAAGGATTCGTACAGGATTTATAATTAATCATCACATTAAAGATCCTCTTCAGTTTTGTAACAACAAATTTCAAAACATTTGTATATGGAAAAATTAACTACACAAGAACGTGAGCAGTTTGAATCCTCACAAATATGTCATATATGTAAAAAAACATTTTCAGAAAATAACGTTAAAGTGCGCGATCATAATCACTTAACTGGAATGTATAGGGGTGCTGCACATCAGAGTTGTAATTTAAATTATAAAGATATTTGTGTTATACCTGTGGTGTTTCATAATATGAGTGGAAATGACGCACATTTTTTTATTAAAGAACTTTCAAATTCAATAAAAGGTGACATTAAATTGCTTCCCATCAATAAAGAAAGATATATTTCATTTACTAAATTTGTCGATGATACAAAAGTTAGTTTACGATTTATTGATTCTTTCAGATTTATGCCCTACAGTTTAGACAAGTTTTTTTTCCAATTTAGATAATTCACAAAAAATTATTACGCAGACAAATTGTAATAATATGGAAGAATTTTATTTGTTAAACAGAAAAGGAGTGTTTCCTTATGATTATATAAATTCCAGGGAGAAACTCCTTGGAACAAAACTACCCGAAAAAAAGGATTTTTATAGCCGCTTATACGAACAAGATATTAAAGATGAAGATTATTCTTACGCTATCAAAGTTTGGAATACTTTCAATATTCGTACATTAGGAGAATATTCCGATTTATATTTAAAAACAGATGTGCTTCTTCTAGCCGACGTATTCGAGGCATTTCGAACTACGTGTTTAAATACTCATCAACTTGATCCCTTACATTATTATACTGCACCAGGCCTTAACATTTGATGCCATGTTAAAAACGACAAAAATTAAACTAGAACTCTTAACGGATATAGATAAAGTCCTTTTTGTGGAGAGAGGTATTATAGGTGGAGTTTCTCAATGTTCTAATAGATACAGTAAAGCCAATAATAAGTACATGAATAAAGACGAATATGATCCTTCACAAAATAGTACCTATTTAATGTATTTTGATGTTAATAACTTTTACGGAGCGGCAATGTCTCAATGTTTACCGTATGGGAAATTTGAATTTGTAGAAAATTTCAATATTTCAGATATCTTAGATACTTCTAATAATTCCACAACTGGTTATATTATTGAATGCGATTTGGATTATCCAGTAGATTTGCATGAAATACATAGCGATTTACCTTTAGCTCCAGAGCACATGATACCACCCATTTCAAGGTCTAAACTTAAAAAGTTGTTTTTGACTTTATATCCTAAGAAAAATTATGTTATACATTATAGGAATTTAAAAATGTATATAAAATTTGGTATGAAAATAAAATGTGTACATCGTGTTCTTAAATTCGAACAGTCTGCGTTTTTAAAAGAATATATAGATAAGATACAAGGCTTAGACAGCAAGCGAAGAACAATTTTGAAAAAGATTTATTTAAATTAATGATTAACGCTATTTACGGTAAATGCATGGAAAATGTTCGAAAACATAGGGATATTCGATTGGTCAGTAAATGGGAGGGACGATGGGGAG